AACATATGTAATTATATATTAACAAAAATATATTTAAAAACGTTTATTTTTTTTTATCAATTATACCATTATAATCGTCTCTTCAATATCTTCAAAATGTTATTAAATATGATAAATACGTACTGATATTTTTTTAGTATCTTAATTTTTTATTTTACACATTTATCTATCTACACTGTACTATTTATTATTGTTGTTGAATTTTAACTGTCATCTATGCATTATTTACAAGTTTCTAAAGCCCACACCTCATCATTATCTTCCCTTCTGACGTTATAAAGTCGCACTACCTACAATATTTGCTCATCAACTATTTTATGTTTTCAAAACGGTGTATCTTAAAGAGGCTAATCCAATATTTTGTAGATGCAATAAATTGCTTAAACTTACAGAGTAATTTCAATATTTAATACGACATGTCATTTTACATAGTTATATTTTGATAAGTTCGCCTTGTAGTTTTTTCTTGTTTGAAATGTATAATATTATGATATTGTTAATGTTTACAAATATCTTTGATCTTTCAAAGATGGGATGAAGACTAAAGTTGTTAAAAAAATCCTCAAATTCTTTTGAGATTTAAAGATGTACTATTTAAAAAAACCCTATTTGATGGATGATTTTTATAGGCTTTAACCTTCGTATTTCTTATTTAGTTATCAAAATATCATTTTACTTGCAAACAATGTCATAATTTAAAAGGTAAAACATTTTATTAAATAAATAAATAATTTTTTGTTTACAAGAAAGTTTTATATTTAGTTGCGTTGAAACGAGTACAAAATTAATGTGCATATATATATATATAAAGAGAGAGAGAGAGAGAGAGAGAGAGTGTGTGTGTGTGTGTGTTGTGTAAATTTTGGGATTGTTATGATGATTATGAAATATTTGTTATGATTTCATATATAACTAGTTGTATACCCGCGCAATGCGGCGGGAGCCATGAATTTTAACGATTTTGAAGTTCTACTGCTTTTATAAGATAAGATTTAACGATGATATATGTTACATTTGGTCTTTACATATTAATACAATTTGAATAAATAAGAGTTATGGTTCCAATTACAGACTATCGATGAAAAAAATTGTATGACAGTTTAAAATCCAATATATTTAAAATCCAACATATTTAAACGACTCCACAAATGTATTCAATTTACACAAAGAGCAAAGAACCAAGAAACTTGAGTTTTAAGATAAACACTCAAAACCAATAAAGAAAAATACAAATTTGACAGATCATAAGTCATGAAAAGACAAAAAAAGATGAGTTTTAGAATAAAATTTCAACTGCTTACCCTCTTTCTTGTCCAGAAACTCAGATTAAAGTTGAATTAATACATGTATATATACATATTCAAAAAAAAACCCAAGAACATATTATACAGTGCAATTTGGACAGCCTAACCCCAAAATATATAGTATATATATAAATAAATAACTATAAAAGTATAAATCGTAAATATTAAAAATATTTTTTCACAGTATATATAATATATAATAATATAATTAAGTAAAAAACTATTCAATATTGGACTCATTTCGAAGGTATTAACGAGACGATTATAATGATGTAACTTGTTAAAATAAAATGTATTTTTTAAACATGTTTTAATTGATATACGATTATGTATGTTAATTTGATACATGTTTAAAATAAAACATTTAAAAATAAAAGATGCAAAATAAATTAATTATAGGGGTATAAAGTGTAAATTTAAAATTATAATTTAAGAGAGGATGAATGTATGTGAGGAGAGGAAGGGGTGAAAAAGTGAGTATAAAAAGTATTTTGATCATTTAATATTTTAAGATTTTAAGACTTTTATTAAATTTACTTAATAAGATAATATAGATTAGAAAAGAGAAAGCTAAAGAAAAATGAGTTTTTGCGAATACAAAACTCATAACCCTGGAATGAAATTGCTTGTAATGATTAGTAGTTAAATAAAAGGTGGGAATTGAAATTAAGGAGTGGGGGTTGCTTCATTAATTGATTAATCAATCATATATTGTAATTGTATGGAAATCACATGTATGTATGTATGTATGTATGTATATATATATATATATATATATATATATATATATATATGTATGTAATGTATGAGGATGGGCACATGCACGAACCCAACACCATGTGAAGCCACTCAGCCTTTGTCCCCTCACCTCTTTAATTAATTAATTAATTAATGTTCTTACTTTCTTAATTAATAATTTTTCATACTTAATTGTTTCCGGCATTTCTGCATCTGCTAGGGATTAAAGTAATTCATAGTATATACAGCTTTTCTGTTTAAAACTGGCATCGAATCTTATTAATCATTTATCAAACACTAAAACTAATTAAAAGCAATCATAAACTGTAATTAAAGTTGGAACAAACCGAATATAATTAATTTGCTTTCATCCATATATATATATGTATATTCCCTTCACTTTCTTTTCATTTTATTATATTAATTACTACTAATCAAAATCAAATCCAGATCATGTATACAGTTTATTTCACATCTACACCAACTAAACAATTAATATATATATATTTTCCTTTTAAAGGAGATCCAGTCTCTTGGAAAAAGGGATTCATTAATGATGTTAAGCAACGGCAAAAACTTGATGGCTGCATCTAATCTAATCTAACTCACCATAACTACATATAAACTTCATAAACAACCTAGCTAACAGAAATTAATCAACTAGATACATCCATCCATCCATCCATCATATAAATATATATATATTCAGATATTTTATCAATTTGTAATAGTCGTATTCATCCACCCCACCACACCTCGACTTCTTTTTTTTTCTTTTTTTTTTTTATTAAATATAATTGCAAATAAAATCTAAGAATAAAAAGAAAGACCTACCTATATCAATTTCATTTATTCATAAAATGGTACAAATAATCCATATTCATCATGAATGTATTATTATTCATGATGAATATTCATCTTGAACATGGACACATGCATGACCAACTATGGGGATGAGAGAGAGAGAGAGAGATATGATAAAATCTAGAGCACTATAGTTAAGGTGTTGTATTCTTAAAGCATTTGGGCCATTAGTAATAATAAAGGTGGGGTGATTATGATTCTACAATATCATCAAATCGCACAAGATAGCCAAGGCCAGGAAGGGTGTGAGCGTGACATAAAGTTGCTAAACTTAAATGCAAAGCCCTTCTTTTTTATATGATGGACCCATTGCTATTGCTATCCTACTGCTACTTGCCTACTAGTACTTGCATTCTAGTCAAACCAAAATTTTGCATGATTGAGATTGGGTCCATCTCCAGCTGCCACTCCCACCAACTGATCCATACACCACCTCTGACCCTACTCATAATACCACATATTAATCACCACCACCCCACCCAGCTCAGGTCATATGCCCTTTCTTCCCAACTTCCATCAATCATTCCATTCCTCAACTTAAAAAACATCATACATTTCTCCAAGTACCCTTTCTTAAACCTCATTGTACGGAAATTATCATGTCTTTCTCTTCTTTTTCAAACCTCCTCCTTCCCTGTGTCTTTGCTGCTCTCCCTTCCTCTTTGCCGTATGTTTCTTCTGGACCGATCTGCCCACCAAAGACGGCTGTTCCTTGAGCGCAAAACTTTTTGCTACATGGCCCAAGTGAAGCTTCTTCACCATGAATATACTCTTCAGATCCCCCCGATGAGCACTGTATGCACGCACCCACGAGCAGAACGCATTCTGAGCTAGCTTCTTCATCATCGCCTGGATAACCATAACACACACCATCAACAATCTTAACTATATAAATTAAAAATCTCTCAAGTTTAATCACACCATGAATTAAAGAAACCGACCACACCTCTTTCTAGCTATATTGTATATGTGAACATACACAAGACCATCACTCTAGCTCAAAGGATTAATTGCAACTCAATGTACAACCAAAAGAAGGCATGATGGAAATCAAACACCTGACAAGGTATCTTTTCCTCTCCAAGTCCTAAATCTGATTGTCTATGCATAATATGAAAGAAGAAACTAGGACCTAACCTCAACCTGCCATACTTGTAATTGTAACAGGCAAAACACAATAATCAAGTGATTTGCTCCATTCTTACTTTTTGTTAATCCCATCTGAACATTAACCACACAAACATACAAAAGGATACAAGAAAATGCACATAGCAGGTCAGAGACTTCAGAAAAATAAATACAAGCACCAAATGCATAGCGAGAAAATTGCGAATGTCCAACAGAACAAGTACGCAAAGTACATGGATGCATGTCTACTAAAACAAATTTCTTGACATGAAATTTTACCTCGGTCAAGATGAAGGATTCAAGGGACTTCTGCAGACAAAGTACCCATGGATGCATCTCTATTGAAACAAACTTTTTGACATGGTATTTCTGACCATACAATGGGAAACCATCCAAAAGTTTGAGCAGAGGATATTCTGTTAACAGTACACCATGTTTCTTCAGCTCTCGCAGGTAATCGGCTTCAATGGGTTGCAGAAATAACAAAGAATCTCCCCTTTCACCCAAGCGAGCTGTTCTTCCAACCCTGCACATCCAAGATCAGATTTGGTCATGCCACACATAACTCAGTCCATCTAAAAAAAATCCACATGAGAATAATGCATACCTGTGAACATATTCAGTTGCCTCCCCAGGGGAATCATATTGAATAATGCATCGAACTTTTGGAAAGTCCAAGCCTCTAGCAGAAACATCAGTGGACAAGAGAAGAGCCGATTTTTCGGTTTTAAAAGCATTGAAAGTTTTTACACGATCCTCATGTTTCATGTTTCCATGTAACTTCAAAATGTTACATCCCACAAATAGCTCCCTCGTCCCTGTCTCTGATTGCAAATTTGACAATCCTGGGAATCGACTTAAAAGTGCATGATGAAAATCGACAGCATCACACGTTGAGAAAAATACCACAATCTGAAACCAGCAGTCACATGGTCACATACAAAATATCAACAAGTTATTCTTTGTAAATCAATTTAGAATCACTCCTGAATCTTGATGCCACAAACATTTGGCAAAACACTTTGTGCCAATAGTGCTAACGAATGAGTCCGTAATTGCAGCAAGCTTCTTAACTGATTTGCCAAACTCACTTTTCTGATGTTTTTGGGATATTGATAACAAAAATAAAATTCATTGTATTCCATGGAAAAAGAAGATATAATTATACAAGGAAAAGAGGATTAGGAATTAGAAACCCTAATGCGTCTGCCTTAATCTCACAGCAAAATTAGCTTGCCACTTATAGAAAAAAATCTTATAGAGCCATGCTTGAAAGAAACAAATGTGGTGTGCATTAGAATATTCTCCCTCCTTAGTCCTTACTCTACCCATCGTCTTACCTTGGCTTTAAAATTGAACTTGTATATACCAAAAAATGTAATCACTATTTATTTATCTAGATCTTTAACGCCAATTCTTTACATCCCAACATCTCCTCAGTCCTTGGGGCCTCCATCATAGTCATTCGGATCTCATCATAATTGCCTAATATTAAATCTCTCATTGTGGCTCTAAGTTATACCCCTATTAGCGTCATTAGTCCAAATATCACACCTAGGCGTGTTGACTAGTCGAGCTTTTAACAAGCTACTCGAGCTTTGAGCTTAATAATTGTCAAGCTCGAGTCGATCTCGAACACACACTAAAACTAGTTTAACTTAACGAGTCAAGCTCCATAACACCAATGTTCAACTCGAGTCTTTCGAAAAAGTTATTTGAGCTCGAACCTGGTAATATTTTTTCAAGCCGAGCTTGAATAACCTACAATTTTCACTCGATTCGGCTCGTTAGCACCCCTAAACTCACACCAGCCATTAAACCCTTTAGGAAAGCCACTAGCTTCAGTGAGCCCATAACGATGCTTGCTATTAACCCCAATAAAAGCACCACTGACCAAATTGGCCCAACTGCAGATAAGTTGTTAGACCCTTTAGGGATATCATCAGCTGCATCAGGAACAAAACTGAGCCTTCCTTTAATCCCAAGACTAAACCCAATAGGCTCTTTTAACTTATTTAGGGGCCGTTTACCAAACGCTTACCGGTAAGCGCTTACCCACAAGACTCACTACTCTCACTTACCTTATGGGTAACATTCCTTGTCATCAATATGGATTGATGGTAAGCGTTTATAACCCGGTAAGCGCTTGCAGGTATAAGTCATCACCCTCACTTACCGTGTAAGACTCTCAATCCTTGCTTTCCCTCTTACCAGGTAAAATTCTCGGTCCTTGTTATGTTCATATGGTAAAGTAATTAAACCAGTAAGCGCTTACCAAGGCAAGCGTTCAGTAAATGGCCCCTCAATCCCAGAATCCAGTCTATACCATTCCTGTCCCCCCCCCTGACACAACCCATGCTCTACCTCTGTTGCTCCCTTCCAAGGCCCAGCCTCTGTTGCCAGGGGTCTTCCCACCGCCATCCCATGTGTCATCTCTGCTGGCCCTTGTGTCAGCCACGATTCACGGCCTCCGCGACCCTCATCACTGCCCCAACCATCGTCATTGCGTCTCTGGTGGCCTGTCCCTCTGATTTTGGTCCCGAGACTCGAGCAGATCTTCAATAATTCTACGTTGCAATAAACTTTTCCTCCATCCCAGCACACCGATTCAACATTGTTGGTTTTACCTCCCTGCTTTATCCCCCAAATTTTTCTTCCAAATAGTCGACTTTTTTCCCCAGCATTCGTGTACCAGAAGTTGCTCTAATACCGATTTCATAGAAACCAACAAAATAATATTGAACGAAATGACTAGCAATGAAAAATATTTGCCTGCTATCGAGAGGTAAGCTTCGCCCATCCTTAATCTAATCCTAGAACATTTTTAATCAAATCAAGCATAATACCTATTTTCTCCTAATCACTATTTATAGTTTCTTAATAATGGAAATATTAAAGCAAGTCGCAATAGGCATGGGAGCCTTGAGCATTTTCAAGGATATGACCTCTGATAAGAGTTCTTGGAGACGCAAGATTAGAGTAGCACACTAGGGGTGGAAACATATAGCTAGTATAAACAGAGGAAAGGACACTCGAGAGGTAGAAGGGCAGGATAGCGAGCTGGGAGCTGAAAGATAGACTACCAAAGTCCTAAGATAGACTAGGGTGTATTTCACTGTCTTACCTATGCTTGTTTGTACCCACTTCTTATTATATGGTGTTGCCTACTTTCCTCTGGCCTTGGTCCTTGTTTTCAACTTGCGTCTCTAGCCTTATTTTTCTTTCCTTTTTCCACTTCTTCCCTTTTTTGAACTGGTCCGACTTTGTGGGTAAGTTATTCTTATTTGCACACGCTTTTTGCAAGCCAGAGGTTCACGGAAAGAGTCATTCTACTCTCTGGGCTAGAGAGCAAGCGTAAATACATCTAAGTTAACACTGCTCGAATTGATACAATTCAAATAGTTAACACGTGCTATGCTTTCAAGAAACTTAGATTACCAGAAACAACATGTTTTTCAAATGAAACTAATAATAAATATAAATATATAACTAATACAACCATGAATGCACACAACATTACTAAATAATATATTCCAAAATAGATTCCAATTATAAAAAACAAAGATATCTTTAGTATTTTTCAGAATTGATAGAATTATATGTAAGAAAAAACTTGGCAATTGGCACTGCTGGAAGACACAAGAGAAATGAATTGAGAAGGTACACAGATGATGGTTCTTCAAATGACAAAAACTGCATAGGACTCCTGAGGCAACATAAAGGTTCAACTAGTTCAAACAAGCAAACCAAAAGAGACATCTCCATGGAATATAGCTTATACCACTTGTAAGAGTTTCTCTATGATTCATAGGGATATTAAACTTATTCATTATTTAGACAAACCAATAGCACTGCAGATGCTTTAGCATCTAAAGCTCACAACCATGATTCATAAATATTCCAAGCTTTACAGGACACTTGACGAAATCGAAGTCACTACAACTCAATTTATACCTGCACTGCTTGGGGTTGTTTTTGTAATGTTCAATTAGGATTTTGGATCTAGTTTATCCATTAAGTTTCCCTTTCTTTCCCAGAAGATTTTCTTCCTTCTGCTTTCTAGTTTGTAGCATAGTTTTAAGATGGTGGATGCCTAATAGATATTCTTTTTAAGGGTAAGTAATAACTAGAAGTGATGATATTCAAAACCCTTGTATAGATTTGGGTCTTCAACCCATGTTATAACAAATGCCACTTTTGGGTTAAGAACCCAAGTAAGCCACATTGCTATTTGGAAGCTTATCAGTCAAAAAATATCATTTAACTCCAGATTTCTTACAGAATCAAATAGAAGATTTAGCAATCCAAAAAAAACATTACCAAAAGAACAGATGATAAAAGGTGTCTAACTGGTTCACCAAATGAATATATCCAGAAAATTTCAAGCACGTAGACCACATGCATTCTTGTTAATGATGTTGAGTAGAAGGCTTGAAACTGACAAGGCAGCTAACAGAAGAACTAATGTCAAATTTAGGTGGCCTTACCTTTTGAGAAGCTTCTCCGGTGAATAGATTCTTTAGAATGGAAAGAAGCACCACAAGGCGAGAACCACAAGGCACTGGAGTATTGCATGAGCCATAAGCAAAATATAAGAACAACCCGTTGAAGAATGTGAAAGTATTTTCTCTTTTTTCTATTTAATTACCTTTGACATATCTCTGATTCAGTTGAGCTGGAAGCTTATATTCCCCATTTGATGCAATTAATACTTCCACAGAACGCTCTGATGTTTTGACCTCATTAGAATCTAATGATGTAACTTGCTTATTAGAAGATTGCATCTTCTTGTCATCAAGACCAATCATAACTGGATTGTCCAAACTAATATTTGCAAGATGATTGACTTTTTCATTTAAGGTGGCTGACAAGAGCAAATTTTGCCTCACAACTCCAGTAGCTCCAGAAACTGCATTTTCTTTGCTTTCAGACATGTTCTGCTTTGAACCCAAAATATCAATTATCTCTTCTATCTCTCTACCAAATCCTAGTTCCAGAATCCTGTTGCAGAATTCTATAAGTGGTTAGAGAAAAAAAAAATCAAACATGTAAAAAAGAAAAGCAAGTTCTCCAGGTGGGATAGCAAACCGAACCTGTCTGCCTCGTCAAATATTATCGACCGCAAATTCTTATGTACAAATGACGATGTGTGCTTTAAATGATCCAGTAAACGTCCCGGAGTTGCAACAAGAATAGATATTCCTAAACACAAATGGCTTATAGTCAGGCATATAAAAAAATTGCAAAGAGTGGCTACTTCAAGATAACGAAGGTGGTTGTTCCCTCTTTCCTTCCAGCATTTTCTTTCTTGCCCAATGGCTAATATATAACAAGGAACCAATTGGTTTGCAGGTGTATCTCATTCACAATGAAGACTTGAAGGAAACTACTTGACCTCTTAAAAATCTAAGTTGTAGCAAGAGTTACTACCTTTCCGCAACCTCGCTTTCTCTTTCAACCTGTTTTCCCCACCCATAATATAACCTGGAACAATCCAATGGAAGCGGTGCAATAACTTCTGCAAAGTTTCATATACCTGCATGCATAGCTCGTGTGTTGGTACAAGAACCAACGCTATTACCAAAGTTGAATTCCAGTTAGCACTTCTTAACACATGAGATTTCTATGTTTCATTTAGTACGAGAATGACCAACATGAAATCATACTAAAACCACATGGAGTTCAAGGCTGTCCAACAGTTAAAAGGATAAACACCCCCTGACTCCAGATATAGAAGAGTTCATATTTAATTATAGTTTACATTTCAGATATATAGTGTTTAATAACCATGCATGAATGCTGAAATGATAATTCATACAGAGACCAAGTAACTTACTGAAAGTACCATCAGACCTCTGAATTCTAGGATCACACTTTTGCAATTGATGAATGACAGGAGCCAGGTACGTTACAGTCTTACCAGTGCCTGTAGCGGCATTAACAAGCCTATAATTGCACGTCAAACACAAAACATTCATAAAGCTAGAAACATGGACAAAAAATTGAAGACACCTGAAGGACAATCAGACAGAGACTAGGGAGAAAAAGTACACATGTCTTCCGGAGAGGATAACTGGAATAGCTTGGGCCTGAATTAATGTTGGAGCTTCAAAGCCCATTCTCTCTGTCAATGCAAGTCACAATAGAGATGAAGTGAAAAGCATCATTCTTCTTTCAACAACGACAATCTTTATTGTTTGGTTAGTTCTCTTGACAGAGAAAATAAACAGAGGCATGTAAAGGTTCTGTCTTGTCGTACTGTTGTGGTCGTAGAGACTAATATGATACCATAGTAAACAAAACAAAACAAAAACAACGCAGACAGATTCTGGATGTAAAAAACTATAAACACCTATACCAACACGAATTTGAATCGACAAATCATTTTGGACTATAATCGTGGGAAAGAATAAGTACAAGTCACGAGATTCTATTATAGCTCTTATTTTATTTCACTATTATCTATCCTTACATGAAACGAAAAACCCACCTATGATATGTGCATATGAAGCGATGTACACGTACCTCGGAGCTGGTCACATAAGGCAGGGTGAAGGCCAAGACTAGAGAAATCACAAGAAGCGAATATGTCCTCAATGCTCTTCTTCTTTATGTTCCCTTTCTCCATTGATATCTCCGTTGCTGCTTCCCCTCTACCAAACTAGGGTTTATACTATAAAACCCTTTTGCACAGCGTTGAAGACAACATAGGGATTTAATTTATTACATATACGCCCCCAAAGATTTTAAATGTTACATCACTACCCCATAACTTATACATATTATATAATTATTACCCCCATAAAGTTCTAGACTTCCTATTATAAGAACATGCCTGAAAACTGAAAATACCAGTAATAAACTCGAATCATCCAAACCAAACGAGAAGCATAGCACCTCACCTGACCTGACCTGACCTGACCTGTTCCAATTATCTTCTGGAGTTGAGTTGTGCATTCGTCGTTGAGCTATGTACTTGTTCATCCTTTCGTGTATTCCAAGATAAAACTCCATTTACAAATTAATGATTGTATCTTAGGGTTTTGATTTTTCTAATAATTGACGACAAGTGGAGCAGTTGACGTTGATTACTGACTATTGCTGCCTCAGATGGAATCAAATGAAGGTGGCGTTAGTGAGATTGATCGCCTGGAGAAAGGGTTGTTGTCCGACACGCGTGAGGGTAATGATTGTGAAGATGAGGACGAGGAGCCCATACTCTTTTCTGCCAGCTTCGAAGAAGCTGAAGATGATTTCATAAAGCTTAAGACGACACAGTGGATACTTTATTCCTTGCTTTTAATTTTGGCATGGGGCTTCGGCTTTATCATGTTCCTGTATATACCTGTTCGTCGATGCATACTGCGTCGTATGATGCGTTCACGAAAGCTCTATGTCACCCCCAATGCCATTGTCTATAAAGTAATCAGTTTTACATGTTTTTTCTATTTTCATCAACAAGTATGTTGTCTTCCTGATTCAACATTTCATTTGTCATTCTGAATGGTGTTTGTTGGAGGTCAGCATCTAGGATTTTTAACACCGGATTAGTATATGTATTAGTCTTCAAAAGTTTTAAGTGTTGAAGTTGGCAGCCATTTAGAGTAGTTTTATGCTTATTAAAGAAGATGATAAGTGATGACGGTGATAATTTTTATAGCAGGTAACTAAGCCAGTACCGTTTCCGTGTTTTGGGGTTTTGAAGAAAGAGAAGCATGTGTTGTTGCCTTCAGTTGCTGATGTTGTGATCGAACAAGGTATGTGCTTATCTAACATTTAAAAGATTTAGTAGACTTACATTATATATACATGCCTGTTTCTTCATAGCAGACCTGAGAGATCTGAAAATCACTGACACAAAGTTTTCACTGCATGAAATATAGCACTAGTATGTGATGCAGTTTTAGTAATGTGTTGCAATGGACACTAGGCATAGTGGTTACGCGAACTTATCCGAACAACTGTTTGTACAAGTATACTTTTTATATTCATTGGATAATTCGCACTTAGCAAAATTTGTAAAGAACAATTTTTAGTTGCATTTCACCAAATGTATGTTGGTAAGGAGCAAGCATTGGAGCAGCTAGTACGGTTACTTCTTTTGTGAATGGAAGGACACAGGGTTTAAGCACATACACTTTATCATTTGCAAATAACAGCAAAGGCTGCATTAGAAAGACTTCAACTCAAAACCTTAGTGCACAAGGGTAATCCTTTTTGCAAAATGTTGGTTGTTCTAGCTAGTTTTGGCTTAAATATCATCCATCAACCGACTGTATAATATATATTGCAAAAAAGGAAAGGATTTTGACTTTGTAACACATGTTATTTGCAACTGCTCTTTAAAGACGCATGAAATGTGCATGTGTTTTAATCAAATAATAAGTTGTATCCTCCCACCTTCTTCTGTGCTTGTCTATATTCCTGATTATCTTACCTGTTTATCTTTCTTGTCAATGCTTGATAACCATTTTACTCAGGGTATCTGCAGTCTCATTATGGTGTCTACTCCATTAGAATTGAGAATGTTGGTGTAAGAAGGCCACCAAGTGATGATGTTCAAATCGAGGGCATTGCTAATCCTCAGGCATTCAGAAAGGTATGTTCACATTAACAGGCATATGTTGTTGGTTATGTGTTGAGAGTTGTAAGAAGTTCATGTTACTCACTTACATCAGGTTGTTATGATGCGCCTTTCAAAAATGAGAAATCAAGCCTACTCTAGGCAAGCTTCCATCCCGGAAGATTTTGGTTCTCCACGAAATGTCCAGTCATATAATGCGCCGGTATGCCACTCTAAAGCATCATATGCTGACCCTACAGATATTGATTTTTTAAGCTTGTTAGTAGTGTCTTGCAACTTCCCTTCAGATATTGATTTTTTCCCTGTGCCATTTGTTTACCTGCTGGTAACTGGCAGATGTCCCCCTCAAAATCACTTGCACATGATACTCTATCTCATGTTGGTGAGGTTGCAATACTACAAAAGTTAGAGGAAGTTGGCAATTCTCTTAAGGTAAATCCAGTTCAATACCATCCTTGAATAATCAGCTGTATATTTATTATTATGTTTCTCTCTCTTTTTTTGTGAAAAAATGTATGGTGCACGCTGCAGAGAGTCCAAACATTGATTGAGGAGCAACAACCGAAAATATCTGAATATAAAGATTGAGGTGGGTACTTAAATTACTTTATTATTCTTTTTTGTTAATCAACAATTTGTGCATCAATAAAATGTTTAACAGCTAGAATTTTGTTCTTCTGAGTACAAAATACAAAATATAACATCATACTGGCAAAGAACAGGCAAATAAGCACTTGCAGCTGTTTTGTCTAAACCAATGACAACAATCTTTGGACAAGGGAATCACAAGTGTAGAAAAAAGAGAATGTGGTACTCAAATGACCAGTATAAGAAGCCAGTCTCCATCTGAAACAGAAATAGATATACTTGCTATAAAAAGTATTTTAGCATCAACCATATAGCCACAACTAGGACAAGAATTCCAATCTCGGACAGCAGGAACCGCCCTTGATACATTTGTTTGGAGAGACCAGGCTTCTTCAACTTGTTGAGTCGGGAATTTGTAAACCCCAAGGAGTGGGTCTAATAGGTAAGGCTTGCAACTTGTTTATTACAAGTCTCAAGTTGGAATCCGCAGGTGCTGTCGATTCAATTCCTGAGGGCCATGCCTGACTGCTGGCTGGAAGACCTAAGTTTGCCGGGGCAATGTGAAGGACGCGTTTTACATGAATCCGTGCCTTGATGTGAATCTGTAGCTTTTTGATGCCTTCATGTTGGTATTTCATAATTCATCACTGAAATCCAACCATGGCATCAGCTGGCTTAAATTTTGTCCCTATCATAGGTTGAATGTGGGGCAATGTGCATTTTCAAATTTGCAGGCATATTGATTCATGTTTTTCTCTGTTAGAGGTTGTTTAAGCTACCAAATCATCACGTGGTTCCTAATATCTTAACGTTTCTGTGTGTAACAGAGAAACAAGGTTGTGGTTCCAGCACGACCCGGTGTTGTATATGATGGTGGTGAGCAAGTTTAGGGGTTTGGGGACGATGCAAATGAAAGGGGAATTTAGAGATGATGAGATTGTTGAGGTAGTCAGCATTTACATTAGAAAAAAAAATTATTCATTGTAAATTGGTTTGTTGATATTGGGTTGTGGTACAAGCAGCAGGAGCAATAGCATGATGGAATGATTTATACATCATCAGATTTATATGATACATTTTGCTTGTGTTTAAGAACAAGAATCTGTAAATAAAAACATATATGCCATTATTATTATTATTATTATTATTATTATTATTATTATTATTATTATTATTATTATTATTATTATTATTATTATTATTATCAGGTGTGCACTTTCTTTTCTAGTATCTGAATCTAATATTTGATGAATTTTTGATATTCCAATCTTTTGTTTTGGTTTTTATTAGTATTATTTAGAAAGAAGTAGATGAAATGTGGATGCATCTGGATTATATATAGTTGCTCAATTCAAAGTGTGAGTGTACACATACACATACACATACATAAAAGGAAAGGAAAGGTATGGAGAGGAAGAAAAAGGAAGGTGGTTGATGATGGTTATGTTAGTTGACTGATTGAGTTGGTGGGGTGACCTACCATTACCAATCTTTTGAATTTTTATAGGTCTTAATTTTGGGTCTTCATTTGCTGATGGGTAAGATTTGAAAGCATAAATCATATATTGTTTTGAAATGAAGTAGCATCCATTCTACTCCTAAATTCTAAACATAACAACCCAAGTGAGATGCAGAAACACAATATAGTTGTTGTGAATTCAAATAATAGTATTTGGTATTAATGCATAAAACCAACCAATAAATACGTTTAAATACCGAAGCTTACCAACACGGATAAGTCTTTTATTAATTTCCAAAAAAGAAATTCAATTACGAATTACATTAATTTTTCTGTTCTCGATTACAATAAAAAAAAATTATAATGTCGTTATATTACATAGCTACCCAAACCAACATATATATAAGCTATTATGGCGTTGTATTGAAATTTTATGTGGTTGAGATGAAATGTAATTTTTAATAATTTATATATATGAGGTTGAGGTTGAGGTTGAGGTTGAGGTTGAGGTTGAGGTGTTTGGGTGAGATAAAGGCAGGATAAGGTGTTGCAAAATATCTGAAATAAATATGACTTCAACATATAGTATAAGGTCATATAATGCCATTTGGCACTTGTTTTTGTATATATACATAATTCCAGATTTTATTTCTTTATATTATATCATTATTATATATTCCAACTGCTTGTCTTGTTTCATTTTTTTTTTTCTTTTCAAAAATAACTTTAATCTACATTTATATGAATCACAATAGGACTTTGATGGGAGTTGATGTTCCATGTTAATTAAAATTGAACTTTCTATTTGATTATTCTAACAAGTTCCTTAAAAAAAATTCTGAAATATAGAAAGTAGTGAATGTTTTCATCCTCTCTCTCCTATTTTCTCCATTTTGAAAAAGGTTTTGGAGACTTTATTTAAACAAAAATCCAAAAAAATTTCTTATTTTGAATAATTTGTTACAACATAAAAACCATTTTTGTTTGTAAATACTTTTCATTGTAGAAGCTACGTTCAAGTATTTCAATTTGAGTATGTTATGGTTTCGAAATAACTCAAAATTTTGTGGGAACAGCTCGCGACTATCAATCGAGATCGATCCAAGAGCATTGATGCGCGTAGCCTTTTATGAAGGAGGGGGCAGTCCGGTAATGTTCTAAGTTGGTCGAATCGGTTAAGTTAATGTGTGTTAACATTTTCATATACGTCAAGGTTAAAGTTGACCATGGTTCTTAAAATATATAGTAGATTCTTATTTGATTATATAGTTTAAGTGATAACATAAGAATCTCATTAAGTAATGAAGATTGTGAAAAAGATAGGTATGTTTGAATATGCAAAGAAAATTGATGTGTGAATAAACAATCATGAATGAATATTCGTATATACTCTAAATAAACCCAAATAAAATTTGATTGGAATGAAAAAACAAAACCAAACAAATGAATTGAATATTAGAAGGTAAAAATGTGTAATAATATTTAAAAAGCAGGATATAAAATAGTAAAATCAGTGTTGCAAATGCAAATGCAAATGCAAATGCAAACTGAAGTGAAGTGAGTTTAAAAAAAGGTCTAAAATCGTATTATTAAAAAAATATTTATATACAAAAATTAGGAAAGAGAGACGTGAGAAGGATGGTTGTGTTAGCAATCTCATGTCACGTGCTTGCTACAGATTCCACTTGTTTTCTCCGCCTCCCTCCCCCTCCCCCTCCCCCTCCCCCTTGATAAATAATATATATTTATTTACACAAATCTTATATTCTTGTATTCATTTCAACAACTACGACTTTGCCTTATATGGGACTCACCACTCACAACTAACCACTCATATATATATATATATATATATATATATAAACATGTTTGTGTTAGGTTAAATTTTGGTATTATTAAATCGTACCTGGTGGGTGTGTTTGACATTAAAATAATAGAGTGAAATTATTTGGGGGATGAAATATGTTTAGATTGGTATAAATGGAGGGTGAGAATTGAATATGTGGAATCGAGTGAGTAGTGAGTAGTGAGTGTGGGGCCCAGGCTGGAGTTGGACGACTGCCATGGCTTTTGAAACAAAACAAAGACGCATAGCACCACCACCAAGTAATGCCATTTTGAATCTCTCTCTCTCTCTCTCTCTCTCCCTCTCCCTCTCCCTCTCCCTCTCCCAGATTTAGCCTCCGCCACCAGCAACAACCCTCTCCTCCTCCTCCTCCGTCTCTCCGCCGCCACGGCTGCAACACCTTCTCCTTCACAATCCAACATTACCCTTACCCTAGGTAATATATACATACATACATACATATATATATTTTTGCTAATACACATGTATGATTCACTTTCAAGCTTCTACATAATATAATTACATCACTCAGATGGCGGCGTCTTCCCTTGTCTGTTCATGGATAGTAGCGGCCTGCATGTCTGTCTCTTGCCAAAATCAACAACACTCCTCCCTCCTCTCCTCCAAACCACCAGGTTCAACCAACATCAGATGGGCTCGCAAACGCAGACTCTTATCTAAATGCAACAACGCCACCACATCCAATACCATTGAGGCCTTCATGTCCTCTTGTTTATCTCCATGCGATCGATACTACACCTCTCATCCACTCTCACTTTCCTCCTCTGACTTTTTCGGCGCTGCTTCCCTTTTCCGATCCACCAATGTTCCCCTTGCTCGCAGGCGACGCCGTCCCACGCCCTCAGGTAATCTTTCAATTCATTTCCTCCCCTTCCTTTTTAATCTACAAATCCCCTTCACAGGCTTTACTCACCATTCTTTTCAATCCTCATTTCACTAATTTTTGATTTGGGATTTCCTTAATTTCTGATGAAAAGGTTTTTGCATTTTTACTGACACCCACAAAATTTTACTCTCTGCCTAATTATTAACTTCTATTGTACTCTCGACTTTATCGAATTCAAGTTTTAATTGATGAAACCTGGTTTGCTTGTTAATTCAAAAGGAGCAGATTGATAATATGTTCTTGTACGCACTTCCACATCAAGTATGGCTTTATCTTGTATATGCATAAACATGCAAATGTATATACACACACACTTAGAGGTAGAGGTAGAGGTAGAGAAAGAGAGGTATGTTCTTAAAAGTGCTTCTTGGCGTCGAGGTGCAGCCCTCATGCCCCGTTTACACCATCTTGACTTCTTTTAGTGTTCCTTTTTACTTCTTTTTGCAATGAGCTTATACTCTCATTCTTTGTTAGCTCTTTAGTATTATGACCTACATTCTTATACTTCTATGTGGTCTTAGATTAGAGCTCGATGTATGTGGAACCACTGGTACAACAATTTTTTTTTTGTTATGAGTTATTGATATAACACATTGAAAGACGCCATGACCTCTTAGAGCATCTCCAATGGAGGCTTTTATGAGAACCTACTTTTTGTACTTTTTATTGCCACGTCACTTCCAACTCACCAAATTAAAAACCCATGTAGAAGTCCAAAATGGTAGTTCTTATAAGAACCTCTTTAGTGTGTCTCATGTATTTTTTCAATATCAATAATTATTATATCTTTATAGTAATAAATATCAAATGTTTACTTTAAAGAACTAACAAAATGTCACTTCACACCAAATTCAAGGTAAGAACCAAGGTTCTTGTACAAGAACTCAAAGGATGTAAGGTTCTTATAAGAACTTTCTCCAATGTTTGTTCTTACAAGACACTACACTTTTTTCCTTAGAAGAACCTTCCCGTTGGAGATGCTCTAAGGCTTTAGGCTAAAGCCGCTACACCACACACCACACCATTTATAATGTTGATATGTATATATATATATATTTTATTATAATCAAGCTTGTGCATATACACCCCTCTCTCTCTCGCGCGCGCACACACTCATATAAGTACGTATATATCATGTATGCTAGAAGTAAGTGATCTGAACCCGACTTATTAGTGATTGATGTCCATCATGACGAAAATTGAGCAGAATTACTTTTTACAGTTCCTGCTTTGGGTTTTTTTTGGATAATGTCTTCATAATATTTTGGGCACCAACCAGAACTTCGTTTTCTCAACTGACATATAGGTGAAGCAATGGCTGTAGCCATTCAACCTTCAATGGAGACCGTGACGAAAAGGAAACCTCCAACAAAACAAAGGCGAGTGGTTGTGACAGGAATGGGTGTGGAGACCCCAATTGGTAACAATCCAAACGAGTTCTATAATAATTTGCTAGAAGGTGTCAGTGGCATTAGTGAAATTGAGGCATTTGATTGTTCCAACTATCCAACTGTATGTACTTGTTCTCCTCCTCTCTTGTTTTGTAAAGTTCTTGATTAAAATTGTCATAACGGAGTTTGAATTACAGAGAATTGCTGGAGAGATAAAAAATTTCTCAACAAATGGATGGGTGGCACCAAAACTCTCTAAGAGGATGGACAGGTTTATGCTCTACATGCTAACTGCTGGCAAGAAAGCTTTGGCAGATGGTGGGATAACTGAAGATCAAATGGATGAGCTAGATAAATCTAGATGTGGAGTTCTGATTGGCTCTGCTATGGGTGGTATGAAGGTAATTTTAGACAATTATGCATGATAAGTGACATGTAAGAAGACCTTCTGTTTTCTCTTTTAGACATTCTATGGTCAGATTTCTTATCTGTAGTTTGAATGAAGCATGAATGTTTTACTCCCTGCCACATTTTTTAAAGTTGTTTCACACTGGGATAGTAATATTAGAGCTTCTTAGGTAGCCTGAAGTGATATATTGTTTTCAGTTCCTTCTGAATTGTATGATTCAGTCTGGTGTCTTTTTAAGACATTGACAGCTGCACGTGCCCCAGGATGCTTTAGCTGTATATTCTACCAAAAGAAAAAAAGAAAATAACAGTGTTCTGACTTTTGAATGCCTAACATGTGGACCAGGGTGTCTGCTATAGTGTGAAATGAAAACATATGCTTTCACTTCTATCTGTGTTAAACATTCTTTGTTTGTGATTATTTAGGTTTTCAATGATGCCATAGAAGCATTGAGGGTCTCATATAGGAAGATGAATCCTTTTTGCGTCCCCTTTGCAACTACTAATATGGGATCTGCAATGTTGGCCATGGATCTGGTGAGCTAAATTTATCTTAAAACAGCCAATTGACGTCCGATTAAAATTATTCAACATCCTTGTAACTGCTCATTTGCTTATTGTTCTTCAGGGATGGATGGGTCCAAACTATTCTATCTCTACGGCTTGTGCCACAAGCAACTTCTGTATATTGAATGCAGCAAATCACATCATCAGAGGTGAAGCTGTAAGTGCTTTTGTTTCTATGTCTATTGGGCAATGAAATGCTGCAGTGACTGGTTTCACAATATTAATTACTACATATATCATCAAAGATGCAAGAAAATAAATATGTTGCAAAAGAATACTAACAATGAAAAGATAGCTATCTTTAGTTATCTGCTACATCTATTTCTGACACTATAGAAAATCTTGCAGGATGTGATGCTTTGTGGTGGCTCAGATGCTGTCATAATACCTATAGGTATTGGATTTTTTCTCATGTAAGTTTTAACGTAGAACGTCAAACCTTATGGCATAACCGTTGGTGTAGGATTGGGAGGCTTTGTGGCATGTAGGGCTCTATCTGAGAGGAACAATGACCCTGTCAAAGCGTCTCGGCCATGGGATTCGGTATTATTCCAACGTCTATTTCTTCAAATAAGATTTTTGGTTTAGCACTCGTTTTTCAGAAGCTGCCAAGCAATACATGATTTAGAAATTTGTATATAATGAGAGTATGATGTTACCATTTATATAGAAGTTCCTTCAATACAGTCATTTTGGGAAATAACATGTTTTCTCTTTTGAAACTAAAGAATCCTACTTGCTTAGGCGGAATATCAATGCCATTTAGAAAGTTATTTGATGCACATTAATATAAAAAAAGTTATTTGATGCATGCATATAACTTTATGAGTTACACACTGAGACTTCTAAAAACTGAAAATCCATTTCTTCTCCCTGTACTATTCTTGTTGAGATTTGGAAGGCATAAATTGGTTATGCTATTCAAACAGGGCCGTGATGGGTTTGTTATGGGAGAAGGAGCTGGAGTCCTATTGTTGGAAGAACTTGAGCATGCTAAGGTTTGCAACAGATTTACTCACCTCTAAGTAAAGATTTATGTGGTGGTGTTCGTCTAAATGATTACTACAATAAGGTAATATGCTAATCAGTTATATTTCCATTTGACTTCATCTTGTTATTGGACAGAAAAGGGGTGCTAAAATCTATGCAGAGTTTCTGGGTGGAAGCTTCACTTGTGATGCGTATCATATGACAGAGCCTCATCCTCAAGGTAGCATTACATGTTTATGTATGTCAGATGAGTCAAACTTCAGTTCATCTGTATATGGTTTTTTCCTGGGGGATAGTTGGTTCTTTCAATTTCAGTTTTATCCTTGTTAATTGTTATTTTCTACCGTTCACATCTATCAGTGGTGCTGGTGGTTTGGGAGAGGGGTTGTGATTAAAGGCTTGAGGATTTTGAAGCTTACGGCTGCTTCAACTTTTATCCTAGTGTTACTATGGTATAAATTTAAGATCAGTCATTGAAGAGGGGGAGGTGTGTGTGGTTAAAGGTTTGAGGATCTTGAAGCTTACGTCGTCTTCAACCTTTATCCTAGTGTTACCATGGTATACATTTAAGATTATTCAGTTGAAGTGAACAACTATACTGGCTAGTTGACTGCGATAGAAACCTTCTCCCACTAGATTCTTATTAGTTTCATGAGTGACATGCAGTAGGGTGCCACCTTGGGGGTGATACAATGTTGTGGGGGTTGAAGTGTTCAGTGTGAAACCTGATTTCATGACAGGATTGTGCATAAAAAGTGACAATGATGATAACCAACAAGAAAGCCACCAGATTCTTATTAGTTTCATGAGTGACATACAGTTGGGTGCCACCTTGGGGGTGATACAATGTTGTGGGGGTTGAAGTGTTCAGTGTGACACCTGATTTCATGAAAGGATTGTGCATCAGAACTGACAATGATGAGAACCAACAAGAAAATATACAGAGGAAGACTCTTGCTTGATCCATGAATAATGAAGGACATCTGGTCTTCATGGATCATTTGTCCTTGTACTTATAAGATGTAGCTGTTGCTTTATATACCCTCAGAAAGTGCAGTGAGCTGTCGAGTTCCTATTTTGGTTGGTAGCGATAATGTTAGAAGAGAGAGAGTTAGACAATCATGGTGCCTTCTTCGTGATGTGATAAGAGGCTGACATGTGGCAGAGCTTGGGCTCCGTCCGCAATGCCAATGAATGCCCAACTTTTCCTTTTCTGGGTGAATGGTTCTTTATCTCATACACAGATACAATGGGTGTTCGTCACTCAGCCTCCAGGAAATATTGTTGCAGCTCAAACTGATCTTTCCTTTGGCTTGCTTTAGTACAGGCAAGGGGGTCACCAATACAGATTTCTTGTGGCATTTTACTTCCTCTCGAGTCCATTGCTTATGCTACTAGATATGGCATATGGTTGTGGTTTTTTTAGATGGCGTTCAACTAAAATGAAGTTTCACTCTAGAACAGAGTTTACCTATGCTCTAGGCTCCTTTTTGCAACATTATGTCCCATGATGTGTTACTTGAAAATTCCCTTTAGTGGTCATATGCTTGCTTCTTGTGGCCGAATGCTTACTAATGTTTGCTACGTGATAGATACAGCTCTATAAGGTTTACAGCTAGTATCATCTTTAAATCAAACATATTTGGATATCTTCTAATATATCACCTCATGAAAAACAATAGCTAAATTTTCAATTTTCATAAGTGAAGAACCTTTTCATTTAGTGGAAGTTAGTTTGCTGTAGACTCCTGGTTTCATTGGAGTTGTAGCAGTTACCACCTCAAAATAACTATATTGCATACTGCAACTAACTAGTATATAGTTTAATCTTGCTGTATGGTTGCCTTTAACTGTGTGAAATGCTCTTGTTAAAACAATACATGCCCGGTAGAACCCTATATGGTTATAGATATTCTGTCATAAATCTTAAATATTAAAGATCTATGTACAGCATCATTGAATATAATTATGTTGTAAAGCAGTCATTTTGGTGTATAAATCAATAATAAAACATGTGCGATGTATGATAAGTGCATATTTGTTGTATGACAAGCATTTGATTTTCTCCTTTCTACCGGTTATTAGGTACTGGTGTCATTTTATGCATAGAGAAGGCCTTATCTCAGGCTGGGGTGGCCAGGGAAGATGTGAACTACATAAATGCACATGCTACATCAACACCAGCTGGAGACCTTAAGGAATACCATGCTCTTCTTCATTGTTTTGGCCAGAACCAAGAGGTGGCTAAATAGACATAATATTCCCGTAGAAGGAACATCTGTTTACTTACATTAACTTCATTATGAGATGTTAATGTTTGCAGTTGCGCGTGAACTCCACAAAATCTATGATAGGTCACCTTCTAGGAGCAGCTGGTGCTGTTGAAGCTGTTGCAACTGTACAGGTAACGCAATAAATGACTGTAGTTTCATTTTCTCCCATATCTGACATGCAAACACGTTCTACAGGAATCGAAATGTATTATTATATGGATTTTTCTCCTTATTATCAATTGTCAATTCATCATTGATTGGCTTTCATCATTTGTAACGAATTCTAGTACATGACCAAGTCAAATTTGCATGGTGGAAACAACTATGTGCATTGGCGAAGGTTCTTTGTATAATTAGTAGGTGGTTGTAAATATCATAATGAGATACCAAGTCCCTTCAAGATGTGAACCAACTCCTGGAGCCAACAATAAAGTACCATGTAAGATGTGTCATGCCTTGTGTATGTGATGTTTATGTTATAAATAATTAATCATGTGATAGATTTTGTGTATGCATTCTAGTTTACCCAAATATGTAAGATATGTCTTCTGCTCATCCACCGAGACCTTGAGGCACTTAATTTCCGTCTGCAAGGTCAGGCTGGAACTTCCTTAGTGGATCTTTTCATTCACATTTCTACACATGAACTGCATTTAACAATGATAAGTTGACTGATCTTGTATTTGATCCTTGTACTTCACTTTTGAGTTATATCGGTGGCTATCATGTTGCAATAACTGAATGAAGATCGGTTCTTTGAGATAAAAATCTTACTGTTTGTTTCAGTGGCCCTTGCAGCCAGTTGTGACATTGGTTTGGGAGAAACACAAACTGGTGATTTAGAGCCACAAGCCCACAACCCACAGTAACAATATTCAGAGAATGGTCGTCCTAGAAAATTGGAGAATTTACGAGGAAAAAGCCATTGGTAGAGCACTAGCATGTCTTTCTGATCATGAACAAAGGACTAACATGTCTTGGCGTTTTTGATGCATTGGAAGTTGGGCGATTTCTGCTGTTTAGATTGCAATTTACTTATATAAATGTGATGGTTTTCTAAAAAATTGCTGATCATACCTTGAGCAACCATTTGTCACAGGTTAACCTAAACAAACAAAAGCCTCGGAACAGATCTTGATCCTTGAGAAAATATAAGTTTGCTGTCTGTCACTTGTGAGATCAGATCAGATTTGTCTGCAAAGGGTGCTTTAAGAAGAGAGGGGGGGGGGCATTGCAATTAAAGGGTTTCTATCCCCTATATTTGGCCATTTGTTTTGTGTGAGGGATAGTTTTTGAGAGAAGTACACATCACAAAAAGAATATATGATTCACACCAACAATCCTCTGTGTCTGGCCAGGATTGGATTAAATGAAGTCATACTCACAAATCAGTGTTCGACACAAATATTTGTGTTGTTACCACTTGTGAAAAATCTATTTTCCGATTTTTGCCGTTAATCGTAGCATTTTAACTAAGGAGTAATTGATCCACTGCTCATTATTATCTACTGGGGCTTGTTGATCCAAGTAAGAACAATGTGAAGCCAGAAAGCTCTTTCTGGTTATGTATCTCAAATCTTATGGTTTTCTTGTAAACATTCCTTGCTGGTTGGTTTTTCTACACTTGTGGCACAAGGCAATTATTTTTGTTATTATTTCCCTCCTTTGTTTATTTAGGCCTGTTCTTTTTGGCAATCTCCTTGTAGGCAATACGGACGGGTTGGATTCATCCAAATATTAATCTTGAAAATCCAGACGAAGGCGTGGTATGAATTGGCTTGTTGGTTGATCAATTGTTATAGTTGTTTACATGATTAAATGCACCGTAGCGACCTGTTGTGATTTATGCCATGAATTTCAGGACACAAAAGTGCTGGTGGGTCCAAAGAAAGAAAGGCTGGATGTGAAGGTGGCCTTGTCTAATTCATTTGGATTTGGGGGTCACAACTCATCAATATTATTTGCGCCTTTCCAATAGTTGGTGCAGACTAGTTTGAGCAAACAATATGGATGCATGGTAAGGAAAAGCATGGGACTTTGAGATTTAGTGATCAAAACAAGATATAATGAAAACTTATTGAATGGGTTTGTTGCAGGTGTCTGTTTTATTGCTATGTTGATGAAAACAATGAATGGTGGGAAAGAGAAACAGTGGAAGATGAAGGAGAATGAGCTAATGTAATTGTCACTCACTGCTCTTGTGTTTGGATAGACCTTCACTTGACTGTTGCTTCCATCTGTACTTTTGTCAAAGTAGATGAATGAATATATTGTTGGATTTTGGCCCATCATATTATTATAATATTTTGTTGTTTTCATCATCTGTTTGCTACTTATAATAACTAATGGTTTCTTAATAGTCATCCACATGTAAGTTGTAACTCATAAAATAAATACCACCTCTGAGCTCTTATTTTCTTTCTTGCATATTAGTGAGTTTTAAAAGTTAAGCACCATGTATTAACTGCAAGTAGCATTTAGCATTTAGCTCAATGGCCCAACATGTTTACTACTGTCATCAGCCAGCAAAATCAAAACTATGTTCTGAAAAGAACTAAAAGCATTGCTCTTGAATCTTCTTTAAAAGCAGTATCTTGTCTATCATCAAGTTTACATATGTTCCAAAAAAATGTGTTACTTTGCACAATATATCTGCATCTTGCACTTTGCAAATATGAATAAAATTCCACTTTAGGAATTGGATTATAATCAAGATTAAATGTTCATTCAAACCGGAAAAAAATCAAGATCAAGTTGTTCATTCGAACCAAAAAAAACTCAAGATCCAGACAGCACATGTAACGGGATCCACAAACAAACCCAAAAGCATCTGCCACAAGCAAACTGCTCTAATCTCCTATTAACCTTCAAACAAATGAGATCTTTTATATAATATTAAATATCTTGTATACATTTGAAAGTAATACACAAAATGATGGCTTCAAAAATAATACATATATCATCCTTCAACCATGTTTCTTCTTGTGGCTTTTTTTCTTTTGGCCTCTTTTCAAGTTGATGGATAAAGCACTGGAGACGCTCTTCCCCTCAAGCCTCTTTGACAGTTTTACCACACTGGACATTCCCTTCCTTGCAGCTGCCCTATGCTCTGGTCTGCGGCTAACCATCTTGCGATCCAGTGGCCAATAAGCATATGGCTCAAGCTTACCCTTCCTCTTCAAATCACCACCTGCCTTCTTGCTCGAGTATTCGGAACCTGTGTATGCCCAACCTGACTCTGTCGTTTTCCTCCGCTTTTCTGCTTTTCTTGAGTTAACCGATGTATTACTACCTGCTAGACTCCTCATTTCGGTGTCGAGGCCAGTGGGCATCTCTCTTTTCAACGTTTTCCCATCCTCCCTAATTATAAGTCGTCCATCATCATCCATTTCTGGCTCATCATCAGACTGTAGCTTCCTCTTTAGATGCTCAGATGATCTAAGAGATGATCTTGTCTTTTGACGGTCAAGCAAGTCAAGTGGTTCATCATCTAACTGGTCAGAAGTGTCTTCTGGCAAGCTCTTTCCTGCTCTTTTAGACCTGCAGCAAATTATTCATTTAAATTCTTCAATCTAACACTTGGAAGGTCACATATATATAACCCAACCCTTCTGGCTAACCAAAACAAGCAATGGTTTGAACTAGTTTCATAGTGCATGCATCATGGTAGTATTTAGTAATGCCAAATTTCAATATGCTGGACTCGGTCAGAAAATTCATCTTCACCAAAAGATCACTTCCACTTTGAACAAGGACTGTGCACCAAGATCCTCTACGTATTCGTACTAGAAGCATATATGCACATTGAATTGAAGCAACATGTGGGTCCAAGCACAAACCGGAATGAAGATTTTTTGGAGTTGAGCAAGCTATGTCGACCAGAAACCGTCTTTGTATCCATATATTCTGAATTGCCATCATCAGTTTCTTCATCACCAAAATCCGAGAATATTTTTGTATGATTCCATCTGCTTAGCCTGTGAAAAATGCAGAAAACCATCAATAATACTACTTAATAGAAAATATATCTATTGAATGGCATAACCCAATCCCTATCTGCACCTAATCACGCTTGAATTATAAAGCATCAAGTTTCTTGAATCCAAGGAACAAGAATTAAAAAATTATGCACAATTCAATAAACCATATGTGAGATTGAGAGTATTTCTAATCAGACAGAACCTGGAGGTAGTTGCTTTTGACAGACGAGATTTGGTCTCCTCGGTGTTAGCAGCATGTTTCCGTTCATTCCGTTCCTTCGTCTGCATTCCAACATTCACAGGTGACCTATATTTTCCAGTTCAAACTAATTTCCCAAAATTATTGATCCACAACAAACCTTTCTTATATTGGTGAGCAGCTTCATATGCTCTTCAGGCATCACTTCCTTGACAGCATCAATCCCACATTTCTTGATAAGCATTTCAAGGAGCAGTTTCACCTGTAGAAATATATGATCATTTAGGTTATTCCAATAACAACTGTTTAGCACAAATCGGATAATGAATCTGGAGATTCTTTATCTTTGTTATTTGCAATTAATAACTGATTTCATTTCAACTGCTGCAAAAATAAAGATGATAACAATCACCACCTGAATTTTCAATAGTACATGGGACAACTTAAAACAGACTTCTGCTGGAATTTGATGGGTGACTGTTGATCATATACTCCCTATCACTTCTTTGTCAAGACATGTACTAGGAGGAAGTGGTATGGTGGGCAAGTTTCTAATCTGAACTGAACCAATCAGCTTTGGGTGGTTTTGCTTCCATGACTTGAATTGTTTTCCAGTATGTTCCGACTTACAATTCTAATAAACAAGTTAGAAGTAGTTGATGGATTAGACTTGCATTCCCAGCTAGCTAGAAGTAGTTAACTTTCCATCACCTCCCTGCAAACCTCTAATTTGTCATTTTGGGTTAAAAATTTCCTTCTGAACCTTTTGCCTTCCAAGAAAAAACATGTCTACCTTACTCTCTATCCAAGGCCTAAAAAGACCTTTGTAAAAGTTAGGGTCGCAACTCGCAAGAAATTAAAAAATGAGAATCGTCTATTCAGACTAAGCTTTCCATCACCTCCCTGCAAACCTCCAATTTGCCATTTTGGGTTCATATAGGACGTTTTCTATTCCCCTTGCCAACCTTTTGCTTTCAAAAAAATATAATTGTCTGCCTTAACTCTCTAACTAAGACTTAAAATCGTCTTTCTAAGAGTCAGGATCGTAAGAATTTAAAATTGAGCACCCATGGGGAAAACCAAAAGAATAAAAGGCTGGGTGCTTTACCAACCTTTGCTTTGAAATGATTCTTGTTGCTACCTTGCCAGCTCAGCAGGGCCTCTACCATGCCCCTCATATGGGCTTGCAACCCTTCAGCTTGTGACTTGGCAACTAATACCTTTAGCAAACCTAAATTGGCCTGCAGTAAGAAGCATGATCATGAAATTAAACTCCTGAAAATAATATAAAATTAGTAAGAACCTACCACATCTCTTATACATATTGCTACTCCTCAGTTGACCAGGCAAAGGGAGATGTTGAGATATCTTGATGCAGTGATTCATACAAACATTACTTTCATCCTCATTGTTGAATGCATATATTTTAATAGTTTTATCTTGGTTCATTTAATTCAAGTTCAAGGCATGAAAGGAGCAAATATTAGAACTTGTCAAAGAAGAAAGTTGCACTCACTTTAAGTCAAATAAACTTACTTTAATTATTTCTCTGTTCTTTCTCTGGAGAAGGAGAAATGAGGATGGAAGAACATTGAAAGCAGTGGATACAAGATCACTGAACTCATAAGTCAGACGAGCTATGCCCTTCACCGCCGCACTGATCATGTGAGGGGTCTCACCAGCAAGGCCTCCAGCCACCTACAGCAAAATTTAGCAACCAAGATGAAAATCACTTCTTCATAACAAAAGCAACCCAAGTTAGGTTCTCTACCATGTTGAAGAAGTTACGCAAGTTCTCTTTGTTTCCACCCTTATCTTCATCCCCACAGGCATGACCAATTTGGACAATAATTTCATATGCACTATTTCTTGTTTTTTTGTTAGCCTGCAAAACATATGCATAAGACAAATTGGCAACTGAAATGAATTTCGAGGAAACTGCAAAGTTCAGTTACATCAGACAGAAACAAAAGTACCAACAGGACCAACTACTTGTCCATCAAACCTCTTAACTGCAACCATAATAGCTGCTTAACACGCTTTCTACCAGATACAAAGGTAGAACCTACAAGCTAATTTTGTGAACACTTGCTTTTCACCCTGGACAAATTTGCTGTTCAGTACCCTTTCTATCTTATCATGTGATGGCCAGTTTATCAAGTTCACCCGAACACAGGTCACTCTTGAAGCACAATATTATGGTGTAGATATAATGAACAGAGCAATATCTCTTTTATCATAAATAATGCAACAGTAAAATAAATGTAAACTGAAGCATGTTTTTACTCCAAATTCTTTCCATGTTGAATGAATACTAAAAGCTTTTTAATTAGTTAAAAACTTAAAAAAGAATTCCAGAATGTCTTAGATGGTACCTCTTTGAGTCCAAGGACAATTTCAGTCAAGAAAGAAGCAATAATCTCACACTTCATCTGTTCTGATTCATCCTGCAGAATAAGTATATTATTTCATCTAGTCTCTAGTTTATGCACGTGTAGAAACTGTGAACTAAAATGCAGTTATGCCGCTTGTTACCTTCGAGACATGGACGATCAGAAAATATAAACAATCAAGTCTGTGCCGCTTGGCTGAAAAATGGCATGAATGCATCACTTCAAACATTAGTTTGAGTAACTCTTCAAGCTTTCTTGTTATGAAACCGTCAGCATGCTGTCAAGAAAATGTAATGCTTTTTATCAGCATGTCAGGATTATCCCAATGGATCAATTAGTCATGGTGACAGAAGGTAGAGTGCCTTGAATTGATACCAACAACAGGGTAGGTTAATTGCCATTACTCAATAATTCAGGTACTTTATTTTTCTTCAAGTTGATACACACTTGAGAGAAACAATAAAACGCATTAGAGTACGAGTACTGAATATAAACTAAAAATAAGTTTTCGAGTTAAACTTCTGTATCTGCTAGTTCTCTTTCTTCATTTACTTATATTCTTCTCCCCTATCCCTAATTCTTGGAATTCGTATTCTCATAAATTTCACTAATAGTTAAAATCCATGTAGTTCTTCATCCACAATTAACCTACAATAAGTTCACAGATGGCAATAGGCAATAGGCAATTTTATGAAAAGAAATACAACTATAAGCCTTCAGTCCTTACTGTTTTGGCACTTTGACACTTTTGACATTTTCTTGATTCGTATTTTGTTATGTACATGGTAAAATATTTTGCACAGATATGAACTGAAGTGTAGGCTGTGACACCCCTATGGCTCTATCTACACAAACTGGGTTCCAAGTTGGCATTAAACCAAACAATTACTAGAAGAGAGCAATACATTAAGTTGATTAGAGTGGCCTTAGACAGAACTCAATTCTTGAGTTGCAACAAACATGTGTGCCTGTATCCTTAAGGCATACAGCTTCATGTTCCAACACACTTGCACTTGATTTCCTTGGTAGCCAAGCAGATTCAATTGTTGAACTTCAGGTGTTTACTGTTCCTGTTATATTTCCTTACAGTCTATCCAATCTTGCTACCATGATCATACCATGCAGATTGTCTACATTTCACTCATTTAGTTTTAAGGAGATCATAAGTTATGTTACCCAGATATAAAGTTGAAGTCTCAAAAACAAGAACTGACAAACTGATAATTTACTTTCCTCTGATGGACATCACACCCGTCCCAAAAGGAGATATACATATATATCTATAACTTGACATATTATATAGATAAGATAAAATATAAAGTTTCAACATCAACATATCATGTTAAAACCTCAAACTTCACTAGCAAAAAGTGCTGTATGAAATAGAGTATGCTCTAGAAAGAAGGAAAGAAACAAAAGGATAGCTAATAAAAAGGTGGAATCTCGAAAAAAAATTGGTCCAACTAAAAAATAGTGGCTATAGCACCAATTGCAACACCAAATAGCGGTCAAAGTGCAGGCATTTAGCGTGTGCTATTAGTGGTACACTATTTGCCACCACAATTGGGTTGAGATCGCGAAGCGCTATACCACTACTATTTACAGCATAGCTCATTAACTACCTTGAGGATTGTTGAAAGAACTTTGTAAGCCTTCTTCTGAATCGAACTTTCAGCATCCTTCAATCAGACATACATCACTTTTGTTAATCTTAATCATCAAACAGCACAACATAAACTTTGGCCATAAGGCTATGGAGCTGAGCTAACCTTCAATGCAGGTTCTATTGCAACAAACAAAAGATCAACCTCCTTTGTACCTAAGCCTGGTAAAAGTGAGACTGCCAAGTCATATAACCGTGCCCTGTAACTGAAAAAAAAAATATGTACTTTATCTTAGAAAATTCTGAATCAAATCGATTATAAAAGCTAGGAGTTAGTAAAGAAGGTTACCTCGTCAATGACAACGAAGTTTCATTGGATGAGTTGTCTATTTCCATAGAACTGGAACCTTTGGTATTTTGGACTTTCCCAGCCTCCTCTGTCACCTTCAGTAACTTCTGCATTGTGCTTTTGAAAAACCTCGAGACTACACCTTTGTCAGCTATAGATGCAAACTCACCAATTGTTCTCTACAAAATGGAAGTTTAACTGTGGACTTTAGCTTTAGCTGAGTTATGGCTACCTCAATCCAGACCCACAGAAGTTCTAATCAATTAGGGCAAAAATCATGCAGAACAGAGATGGTGTCATCTATAGTGATTGAATAGTCAAGTGTGCAAGAGAAACCAAGACCAAGAATCAACGACTTCAGATGAATCCAATGTAAATTGTAACAACTCTTGCAACAAGCGAAACAATAGAAGAGATCAAATCATGCCATAAATGCATCTCTATGTGGCATCACGATACAACTAGCCATGGCTCAAAGACGGTCCTGGTTGTGCATATTATCAACCAAAAAAACTGCTACATTATAATCTTTGATAACTTTAGATTATTTTTATAAAGGAACTATGGCATGAGATATATAATGAAACCCAATTTCCAACTTCTACCAAGCTAGCATGCACACACCCTGGGAGGCAAAAAAAACACCATTGTAATCTGTACAAAGGACTATACTCCGTCATACACATCAACACAATCTAGCATATCATGATTCTCCAATAGGATAACTTTAAGCATGCATTATTTAAGAGAGACCAATTTCTAATACACTTTGACAAGAAAAGCATATGTTGTAAGAATTAACTCGCATCCTAATTTGATAATTGACCTTTAAATGACACATACAGAAAATTGACTAACACCTACCAATAGCATAAGACTAGAAATAGCAGAAAAACTCTATGGGAACTATAAATGATATTTGGTTAATCAATAACTGCTTTCACTATCTTCCCCAAGAGGCAATCTGAAAGATCTACATCCTTCAAATGACGGCAGTTAATATTGGCATTTGTGTTTTAAAATATAATCCAAAGACAAGAAATAACATGTAACATTCTAATATCCCTGCACTGAGAGAGAAAGCAGAACACTTGATGATCTGAAACCTTGCAAAGTTGCAATATCTTGCAACAATTCCAAATTTGTTTCAAATTTTACTAGTTCAAACAACTGATCTGCTTGAGGCATAGAACTACCTGCAAAGATCCACCATCATCTTTGGTAGACTTGATGAAAATTCCTGATAGTGTGGATAAAATTTCACGTGCAGAGGACCTTAACACATCCAAATTAGAAGCTGCAACTTCTGAAGTGTAGCGGGAAATTGCCCGTTGTTCACGAATGCTGGCGTCCTTACCAGTGGGTTCATTTTTGCCCTCGACTATCCTTTTATTTTGTCGAACGAGAATCTGGAGACTGGAGCATATTACTCCACGGAAATCAGACTCTTCCCGAAGTGAACGACATAATGACTTTTCCAGATCCTTGAAACTTTCAGCAGTATCCAGAGGATAATTGCAAAATGAAGGCAACAAAGACCATAAAGAATATACAAGACCATCAATGTTCCTGGCAGAATGAATTCGTCCTTCTTGCTCATGCTGGCACAAGTAAACAAGTAATGACACTGGATGGAACATGATATACAAGAACAAACCCTAAAAAATACAGAAAACTTGTACCTTCACAGATCTCAGCTTCAAGACTCGAACTGTATTCAGTAGAGATTCATTGAAAAAGCTCAAACGAGCACCCACTATGTTCTGCTTCAAAATAGGGAAAAGCCATACATTGGCATCAGAGAGGTCTTCAGCTTCTACATTCAGAGGTAGATAGCTTAAGAATGTTTCAGGCCCTAATGCAACCAGAGCAATTCCCATGCAATCATGCAACTGCAACAACAAAGCTGGTACATTAATTTGTTGATAATAACAAGAGAATACGCCAAAGACATGAAACTATCAATCTCCAAGTCAGGAAAGTAACTAGCACCATTTCAAAAATAGGAGAGCATATCAACATGGAGAGAGAGACCAAAAATATAGTGAATGAAACACATCCACAAGGACCATGACAACAGTCATTCTTCAGCATTATAAGATACTATTGTCACAATGAAGAAAATAGCACAAGACAGAAGCATAGTAAAAAATCATGAAAAAAAGTAACTTGATAAGTTTAAAAGAAGCAACAACTGCAAAGTTCCTCCAGAGAAGTTACAAGAAAGAACTCTTTAAGATCTCAATTTACCTGTTTCCTGTAAGCAAAATCTTCATCTGGCAACTTTTGTATGTCTTCCAAGCTCTTGAGGGTACCTTTTAAGAAGTAAGAGCTGAACTCACCTGAAAAAGTATTGTCAAGGCTTGAAATTCTCGTTTACAGTTTTTTAAAGCAACAATTAAATTTGGTTTTTAAGAGTGCTGAAATTACCTAGTTTATCAAACATTGCTGCCACAACTTGAAATGACATGTCCCACACTGCAGCATAGCTATAATCAAGTAAACTTTCAACACTAGCACAAAGTTTCTCAATAATGGTTGGTCCAGATTTTCTCAAATCCCCACTTGTCATAATCTGATCTACACCCTGTTTGATCAAGTTCTCATCAATGCACACATGTATTAAGCTCTTGAATGCCTCCATAGCAACAAGCAAAGGCTCCTCATGTTCAGAAGCTAAAATATCTGCCACCCCAAACATAATTATTTATTTATGCATAGCCTTGCTGTCATTGAGACCAGATTATCCAAGATAGAAGAGTGTTTGTAACAAAAAATTTAAAGAAATTAACAAACAAACCTTTGAATGCACTGAACACAACTGGAAGCTTGATAACACAAGTCTGCCGGTTGAGAGAAAATACTTTCTTCATCCCCACATCTAACAGTCGAGCAGTGAATGTCAAGCTGTCGCCAGACATCTCATTTGAAGATACTGAGATAGCTAATGAGCATAACAAATCTATTAGCGCTTCAGGAGAGACCTCAACAGTTGGTTGGAGGCAAAGTAAATACAAAGCATCCGTAATGCGCCGGGTAGCTGCAGATTGGTGCAGTGCAAGAAGAGATTTGAAGTAATTCAGAATCTTCGTTGAGAACTTGACAGACATAAGCGGAAGACTATCTTTTAGAGAATCCAAAACATATAGGACCTCCTGAGCTCTGGAACCTTCTGACGTGTTAGTATTTGATCCTCCAGCAAGAAGAAGAAACCTCTCAAAGGTGCTTGCAATAGCTTCACTTGCAGGTGAGAGCACTGATGTTTCTCTGAAGCCTTGCATGGTATCACGGAGACAAACATGTGCTTGCCTTCGTACCTATATGATAGGCAATGATTGGTCAGAAGCTTGAAAGGGCATATGATGAGCGTTTATATTGTTTATGCAATTTGCTAATTAATCAAAGGATCAACCGAAATATCTTGTCAAGTTTTTCCAATAACTAGGGCAACAACCTCCAAAGGCTGATGACTAGAACTAAGCAGCTTTCTTTTTACACTCATTCCCCATTGTATCAACTAGAAGTATAAGGCTAGTAAAAGACAAGCAGGTATAACTCCAAATAAATATTCATATGTGTGTATTTAAAGAAAAGTGGCAACAAGTACTCACCTTGAGACGAGAATCTGCGATGAATCCTAGAAGAATTCCAAATAAATGAGAAACATCAGACCAGCTTGTCCGATGACCAACGACTAACAAATGTGAAATGCATTTTAAGCCAGAAGTTACAACACTATCATCAACAGCATGGGAGAGAATAACACGGGTAAGTATACCAGAAACATACTCGGATTCCTTCCTGAGAACAGCAGAAGTGATACAAGGGAGGACCATGGAGATGATAGTGACGAGAGCATCAATATGGTGAGACGGTGGGTTGGGGTCGGAAGATAAAAGCTTATCAAGAGAAGTACAGGTGGCGCCGAAATAGGCGAGGGGAGTGAGAGGGTGGTTGAGGTCTTTAAGACCTTGAGATATGTCACCAATGATGGAACAGAGGTGGTGGTGTTGGGGGTCGGTGGAGTTACTATACCGTGCGAGGATTGAGTTGCAGAAGTCACTGTTTGATTGATCGTCGTGTTCCATACCACCGATATGTTGCAACATCTCTGACTTGGACTGAACCAGACACAAGGCTTGTAACCCTGGGGCCGAACCTAATTCTGTATACAAATGTTATATAAATGAGTCTAACTTGCTTCAATGTAATATATATATATACACTTTAAAAAACACAAAAAATACACTATCCAAAGTTACAACATACTAAATTTTAAAACAAAAAAAGAAATATGGAATCTTTAAACATAGTTGATTGTGTGGAACCAATATTTATATAAGCTCTTCGAAGAGAAGACAAACCAGGATCTAGTTCTAGTGTAATAAGGTCGAAAATTAATTTCCTTTAAAGCTTTTTTGCATTGGTTTTGCGTAACCGAAACACTATAAGAATATTATCTATCTTTGTTGTCTCTTTGAGGTATTGAGAAGAACTAGCATGTTTTGTTCTAAAAAGTCCATGAATAATAGTTGTTTTTCATCTTATTTGCATGTCAAACAAAAGTAACAAACAATATCAATATCCACAGTTTAATTTTTAAAGAACTTGCAAAATGACAGCCTAATTATCTGAGCAGTAACAAGAAATCAAGAAGTACGAATCTAAATGACTAAATCACTAACAAAGAAATAACAGCCCTAATCACAGTAAAATCTAAATCAGCCCTAAGCTCCTAATCACATAAAAAATTTAACAAAATTTACAACTATAAAGTGAAAAAATTAAAATAAATAAAATATCAGCCCTAAATAAATAAAAAATGATCAGAGTAACAAGAATGAACGATGAATAATCAAGTAAAAACTCAAGCAAAGGAGATCAAGCTCAGGAATAAAGCATTAAAATTAAAAGCTTAAACTTGAAAATGGAGGGGGAAAAGACCTGTTGCCTCCTAGTTCCGGTTGCTGTCTCTGGCAGCCGCTGCACACTGTCTTTGGGTTTTAGGTGAAAAGAGATACCGACTCTCTCGGCGTGTTTGCTAGGGTTTTAGCGGAAAGATTTATGAAAATGGCCCAAAGCTTTTTAATTTGACGACATTTGCATCACCACCCCTCTGGTTTTCGCTTAATTACAAACATGACCACAACATTTTCCCAACTCGTTAAATGCATAACTTTCTTCACCCGTTTTATAATAAAGAATAAAATATATTTTTTAATTACTTTAAAATTTAAAAAAGATACTTAAATACAATTTATTTATTGATCATGAAAAAATATCATATTCTTTGTAATTTTACTAGAATTTCATGTATAAAGTCATGTATATTTTTGTATATATTATATTGATGCAATTTTGTCATTTATAAAATTAAGAATAAACTATCAAATGGTCATTGGTTTAGCAGGATCGTTAAACTGAATCTTTCAATAGGTCAATGGTTCTAAATTCACTGAATATAATTGTGATATATAATTATTATGTTTTTCAAAACAAAATTAAGAGTAAGCTAGATATTCGGTCTTTGTGGTATTGGTTTCTAAGTTGTATTTATTACAAATTAACCCTTGTGGTATACATATGGTCAGTCCCCTCTCGTGACATCTTAGGAAGAAGAAACTAGACACACAAATTATTAGTAATTTTGTATGTGATAATATACAAAATAAAATACACGAGATAAATTTATTGTTGATATCACTTGTAATTATGTTATATTGTAAAACACAAAAAAAAAAAATCTAATACGACTATCAAATGCAATTATATTGGTTACAAAGGCATATGAATGTAATACTAATATTACATATGACAAGATACACTCATGTCATAAATATAGAATAAAGTAAAATTTAAAATATTTTAATACAAAATATGTAATATCAATCACTATATACATTGAATTATATATATATATATATATATATATATATATCTATACTATATTATAAAGCATTTGACTAAAACTCTTAAAAACAATTTTTTATGCACGAAATATTGTTTATTGATGCATATTAAAACATTTGACAAAAACTCTTAAAAACAATT